TTAACTTGCAGTAAGATGTTTATCATAATACAATTAATATAAGTTATTTAATTAATAACTCATATTTTTGTCAGCAGAACACAAACTCATCAAAATGAAAAGTGACAAGAAATTATAGGAGAATGAGTCAGTAACCGAGCTGTCAGCTGACTTGTCAAGTGAGAACAGAGTCCTGCGTTCTGATTGGACGGAGATAAACTTCCTGTTTAGCCACATGTTCATGTGGACAGCCAAAAGTGTCGTAATTTTTCGCGTACCTCCTGTGTACTTTGTATGTTACTGGAGTATTCCCCACAAGGGGAAACCATAGAACTCACATTGAATAAAACGTAAATTAAAAAAACATGGAGACCCTGGAGGTCATGTTCTGCCTCTACACTGCCCCCTACTGTTCATTTGTGTAAAATTGCAGACACCATTAATTTCCGAGGATGTGCCCACCCGCCGCAGGATACGTCAGTTTGTCTCCGACCTATGGAAATAAGAACATTCTGTGGTTAACACCTGAATTCTGAGCCAGTGACGAAAAAACTGAAAAACCTGAAAACATATTGTTAGAATTCATCCATCGAACCACTGGTTAGTTTTCATGAACTCAGAGAAAAGAGTTGGATTGACGAGCAGCAGAACTTTAATTCTTCCTGAAAACTGAACAAATCAAACTCATTCATATAAAATCACTAGAAAATCTCTTCACTCTGTAAATACGATGTTTTCATCATTCACACATTAAAGCGACTTCTCATGTGGTAAAAAACAAAAGTCTGTTTCTCGAAGATTCTCCTCGACAATAAGACCATTTTCTGTCAAAGAAAAAAAACGTCAGAGAATAAATAAAGCAGAGGATCAGGTTGTGTGAAGCTAACGCAGGTTCTCGTTGTTCACGCCAACACCAACCTCAACTGCTGATTCATAATGACACAGTTGCCATAGAGACGTGAAGGTGAAACTGATGTGTTGCCATAGAGAGGGTAAAGGCAAAACTGTTACTGTAGCAACAGGAGACAGGACAGCGTAAATGAGTGTGAGACAGTCTCAGTGCATCGTGGCCGTTGGGAGACAGATGTGGCGAGTCCAGGTTCAGGGGACGGTGAAGTGGAACGGGCTCCCGGGGACGTTCTCGTCGCCCCACTTAACGATGAGGATGTAGCTGCCCTGTTCTTTGATGGTGTACGTGACGTTGTACATCCTGTTGCCCATGTGTTTGACGTACACCTCTTCACAGGGCGTCTTCGGTCCGTGGACACCGACCATCAACATGTTGGTTCCTGCAGAGACAAAGTAGCAACGTACCATGAACAGTTCTTACTTTGTATTTTGTTCCTCAGTTTTTTTCCGCCCTCACCTGCTTTACTGCAGTCGACCGTGAACGTGTTCTTCTGACCAACGAAGGCCTTCGATAGCCCGGCGCCTCTGGACACGACTTTAGTGGCATCTGAGGAGAATTTGGGTAAAGAGGCGAAGGCCCCGCCCATCATTGACGACTTGGTGACGGTTTCCACGAGAACGGACGACGTCTCATGAAGACTGTGGCCGCCGGACAGACGAGGTCCTAAAGAGAGATTTCAAAATCATGAGCATCAGAAGAACATGGAGGAGGTTCTGTGGTTCCTCAAGTTCTCAGGATTGTTTACAAAGTTCAACTGGTTCCTGATGTTGAATTCTTTTAGGAACATTTTGTGATGTGAAAATTGGGAACAAATTAAATACAGTGCTACGAGCTGCGTTCAGGTACGTGCTGCGTTCAGGTACGTGCTGCGTTCAGGTACGTGCTGCGTTCAGGTAAGAGATGCATTCAAGTACGTGCTGCGATCAGGTACGTGCTACGTTCAGGTACGTGCTGCGATCAGGTAAGAGATGCATTCAAGTACGTGCTGCGTTCAGGTACGAGCTGCGATCAGGTAAGAGATGCATTCAGGTACGAGCTGCATTCAGGTACGAGCTGCATTCAGGTACGTGCTGCGTTCAGGTAAGAGCTGCATTCAGGTACGTGCTGAGTTCAGGTACGTGCTGCGATCAGGTACGTGCTGCGTTCAGGTACGTTCTGCGTTCAGGTACGTGCTACATTCAGGTACGTGCTGCGTTCAGGTACGTTCTGCGTTCAGGTACGTGCTACATTCAGGTACGTGCTGCGTTCAGGTACG